TTTTGAATACATTATATATTTGAGGAGTTTGCCAGGATGTGGCCTCATTTGAATTAAGAATAATACAACTGAAGACTTCATAACATTTCTAATTTTAAAAGTATTGTTAAGCTCTCCTAGCGAATAATTACATTGATAATACTCTGAATTCATGGGAAGTTGAAAACCAGAGCAAAACAGTATAAATAAGGTGATTTAAAATTACTTCAGGATCTTAGCTAACATCTGAAAAAGTGTCCGTTCCTTCAAAATGGGGCACTCAGCTCTGAGAAACAACCGAGGCTTTTTGATGAATCTATACAGTGGCGGATGAATCTGCTTAGCAATGAGCTTTTCTTATGTCAGTCAACTGTGGCACCAAGTGATGACTGGATTACAAGAATAAAATGAAAACTGAGTCTGAGCACAGACTGGTTCTGAATTTAGCCTTCCGAAGCTTCCGAAAAACACAAAAGCTTTTCTTTTACAGATGGCTTTCTACAGCACTTTCCTTTCTGATTTAGAAAGCTTGAGTTATATTTCTGTAGATTGCTCATCACATTTTGTTTTTCAATAGAAAATAGGTAAAGGTATTTGAAAGTCAGATTTCAAAAGAACAGAAAAGAAAAAAAAGCCAACATAAAGGTAAATCATGGAAAAGGGAAGAAGCAAGCGTTGTAGTTGTCTCTCTAAAAACTTAGCTCTTAGGTGAATCCAATCACAAGAACGAGTGTCTTGAATGGTCTTTGAGTGCAACTGGCCAGTGTGCACCCCCATTTTCAGCCTTGGATTTCTCCATCCGGTACTAAGAAATAAGTTGCAAAGACTGAAAAAACAGAGGGCTTTTCCCCAAAGGGATTGGGTGAAATTTGTTTTTATAATAGCTCAGAGAAGAAAATAAGCAGCATTGTAAATCAAGCGAGTGTGTTCCTGGCAGGTGCTTCGAGCACTGACCTGCATCCGGTTCATGGCTTCCCTGATCTGATCGAGGTGATGAGCAGAGCTGAGGGCCTCCAGCCGAATATCAGTTAATTTCAATTCCTTTTCTCTGAGCTCACTCTTCAGCTGCAGAATTATCTCAGCCTCAGCCTCGGTGCATTCACAGATCCTGAAGAAGGAGATACACACTAAATCAGGGGTTGGAGGAAGCCAGAGGATTAGGAAAAGCAAGGCTTCTTTTAAAGGCCGAATGCTAATGTTATCCAGCAGGTACAGAAATGATTTGCTGCTAGCAAAAACCTAGAGCAAAGGAGAAACATTTTCACCAACTGTAATACAGTCCCAGGTTCAAAACTGAAAATAGTAGCTCTCTTTTCCTTTAATCTTTTCTTCCTATTTTCTGAAGTATTAAAACAATTTATTATTAGTGGATATAAAAGNGGAGCCTGCTTTAGTTAGATAGGTTATCCTGGAAGGCTTCCTGGAGGAGGTGGTGTCTAGAGCTAAGACCAGGAGGCTGAGAAGTGCTATGCAAATGAAGACCTAGGAATGAAGTCTAGTCAACAGAAACAAATGCAAAAGCCTTGATGAAAGAACTAGATGTTTAAGGAACAGAAGAGTGTTTGGGGTGGCAGGAGTGTGGAGACCAGTGGGGGAGTGGGGAGTGGTATGAAATGATGTTGAGGTGGGTAAGGGCCAGATAGCGTATGGTCTAGTAGTCCACAACAAGGAGTTCAGTCTGATTTCTGATCTGCTTATCTGCTCAAGTTTTTGTCTTAGAAGATGTTATTCTTTTCACATCATGGTTACCCTTAAAATTTATGCTTAAAATACATAAGTTCCCCTGCAAGCAGTGGGGTAAATATTTGCTTACAAATGAGTGAATGACTGTCCTCGGCTCTCACATATGTGGCTACTTAAAGCAAAATGAATACAGCCATTAAAAGGTCAGGGACTGGGTCCACCCAGACTAGAGTTCGAATATTAGCTCTGCCACTTACTAGTTGCATGATTTTGAGCAAATTATTATAGTTACTTTCTTAAGTCTTGACTTCCTTATCTGTGAAATGGGGCTGAAACAGCATTGGCTTTATAGGATTACTGAAAGCATAAGAGATAATGCTTTTAAAGCACTTTATCCTCAGTGTTTAGTCAGTTTAGCGGGTCTAACCATTATTGCTTTTCTTCATATGTTTATTCTAACTCCTTCTAACCCCGGGAAGAGCACATCATGACTCACTCTGGGGCGCCCCTTGTTCCCAGTATAGGACAGGCTGATCACCTGAAAAAACAACTCCAAGTAAAATTTAAAAAAGCAAGTCTGAGGTAAGGGTTCTCTGTGGTTATTTATGGAAAGTAAGTTATGGT